CTTTACTGTCACGTTTGATCAGTTTATCAGATCAGTATTGATCAGTAATCGAATTGCCAAAATAATAATAATTTTTACTTTTATTATTATTATTATTATTATTATAAAAACAACAAAATTGAATGAAAACTGAAAATATAAAAATGATTAAATGATTCAGTAATAAAACCAATTCAAGAATATTAATAAAAACTGTAAGAACATCTCAATGATAGTAAAATAACACTGCCACAAGAAAATGTATTTTAAAAACAAAGCAAGTTTTAAGCCAGGTCTAAATGTTTGGAATTTCTTCAGTTTGGATTTACATTATTTATTTTTTTTTCCAACTTCCTTCTGTCTTGTTGCAGCATTAGGTGAAGGCATGGACAGTTTTGTGCAGTGCCCCATGGATGCTCTGAACTGGGCTGAAAGGAAGTATTTGATCCTGCAGGAGATCCTAACCTACAGACCTGACATCATTTGCCTACAGGAAGTTGATCATTACTTTGACATGTTTCAGCCCATTCTGGCAAGTTTGGGCTACCAGAGCAGTTTCTGCCCCAAACCGTGGTCTCCGTGCCTGGATGTGGAAAACAACAATGGCCCAGATGGCTGTGCTTTGTTCTTCAATCCCAAACGCTTCCAGTCACTAAACACAACACACCTACGTCTGTCCGCCATGATGTTGAAGACCAATCAGGTGGCAATCATCGCTGCTCTACGCTGCCAAGCAACCGGACGGGCGTTTTGTGTCACGGTAACGCATCTGAAAGCGCAGAGTGGTTGGGAGGTCCTACGCAGCGCTCAGGGCTCGGATCTGCTACGGAACCTACGAAGTGTTGTACATAGAATCAAGACCAAAGAAAAAGCAGATACCGACATTCCATTGATAGTATGTGGCGATTTTAATGCCGAGCCATCAGAAGACGTCTATAGGAATTTCGCAACATCCAGTCTGGGATTGGACAGTGCGTATAAGCGTTTAAGTACAGACGGGAAAACCGAGCCACCTTACACAACCTGGAAGATCCGGCCCAGTGGCGAGAGCTGCCACACGCTGGATTACGTGTGGTATTCACACAGAGCGTTTGATGTTAATGCGGTTCTGGACTTTCCTACAGCCGAACAAATCGGACCCAATAGGCTTCCTTCCTATAACTACCCTTCAGATCACCTCTCCCTCGTCTGTGACTTCAGCTTCAAGGATCCAACGCTTGTTTCCAAATAATTACAGTTATTTCGAAAGACATTTACCACAAGTCGAGACTTGCATTGGCACGGCATTTCTACATATTTTGTGTTGTTCATGACTAAATAACGATTCAGTCAGTATATCACAAAAATGAAAATTCTGTCTTCATTTACTCACCTCCGTTTCATTTTCTCTGTACTGTGGAGTACAAACAGAGATTTATTATTGCTAAAGGCAATACATCACAATAAAATCTTAATGAAAATGTGATTTTAAACAGACACATTTCATTGTGGCTCTTTAAAATCAAACTGCAATCGAAAGTGGTGCCTCAAGACGTGTCTCATCAGGTTTGACTTTAAGAGCTACAATGGGTGGATGATTTTCAAGAAATAGCTGCAATATCAGTCTCTTCCTCACACAAAGCTAAAGTATGACTTTAGAAGTCTTGAAATATAACCATACTATAGTCATGTGGGCTATTTTTATGGTGCTTTTCGGAGCTCACCAATGTAAATCGACATTTACATGTTTTTATTTTATGGAAAAGAGCAGCTTGCACATTAGGTAAAATAACTCCTTTTGTGTTACACAGAAGGAGGAAAGTCATACAGGTTTGGAAAGACATGAGGGTGAGTAAATTAAAACACAATTTTCATTTGTGTGATATATTCCTTTAAGCTCTTGTATCTTCCTGAAATTGAGGATGTAGGTTTCAAATCAAATTGTTACTTTTTATTCTTAATATATGATTCTCAAAAAAGTAAATAAATACATCAAATAAAATAAAAAATAAATAAATAACCATGCTGAAAATAGTTTTGGTCTTATTGGTAATATCATGAAAGCATGCACAAATAAAACTATTGCATTGTGGGGGGTTTTCATATCGTTGAAAATAAAGTATGTTTGAGAAGGGGTCAAATTCTGCATAATCTTGCATTAGTAAAAACAGTAATAGTCACAGTCTTTTTTCACTTCACTTATTTATTAATGAATAATTTCCTTTGTGCAACATCCTCAAAATGGCCATTTCACAGCTAGTTTCACCAGAGTTTACATAATCAATTGCAGGCAGTTAAACTATTAGTACCTGTCACCTGAGTTTTATATTCATGCATTATTAATTCTTGTAGGGTGAAACTATTTTATGAGCTAATTACAAATTTTTTTTTTTTTTTTTGTAGCTTTAAAGGTTACTAAAGAGAATGCAACTCAATCCCTTCCCAAAGGGACCACAAGCACATTTCTGTCCTGTTTTTTTTTTGTCATTTTCTTGTTTCAGAATTTGATTTATTATTATTATTATTATTATTATTATTATTATCAGTGGCTACTAAACAGTCCCAATTCTGTTCTGCTGATATTATATGGAGTTTTTCCATTAGTTAAGCCAGTTAGATAAAAATGTAGATTGGTGTAATTTGAATCCAAAATGTAAGATTGTTCATCCCTTGAACAACTACTAGTACTAGAGTCCGAGTCGAGTCTGGAATCATTACATTAATTGTGGCAAATAAATTGTCATCCTTAAAAATCCTATTTACAAGATTTTATTTTAAAGACAAAATGGTAACACTTTTAGCTATTAATTAGTTGCTTATTAGCATGCATATTACTACCATATTGTCTGTTTATTAGTACTTATAAAGCACATATTAATGCCTGCATGACCGCATTTTAGATCCCTTAATCCACCCCATACCTTAACTTAAAGGGGTCATAGGATGCTACATGCACTTTTACAAGCTGTTTGAAATGTGTGTTGGCAGTGTGTACACGACCAAAATCGAGCCGATCTCAGATGCCTGTCTGTGTGATGTCACACAGACAGGCCCCTCCCACGATAGTTTGATTGACAGTAGCGTTTCAGCACAGACTGGACTGGTGTCTTACCTCAGACCCGCCCTGAGTGAGCTGTCATCAGTCCGCCATTGTTTCACCGCCGCAGCAGATGTAGACACGAATGACTCCTAAGCGACTGAGGTGTTCTGTTGTTGGATGTAATAATGAACAGCAGTCGTCATTTACTCCCGACATCTGAGCCGCTGAACTCGCAGTGGATTACATTTGTTTCTGAAGGGAATGCGCCCCCGATCTACATAAATGCGTCTATGTTCGCGCGAATCATTCATGATCCAGCCTCATCTACAGAAGTATGTTTTGTAATGAATCTTTGCAAATCGCCCTTTCCTAATAATGTGCTAATTAGCCAGTTTCACGATGAATGCGGCTAAAGTAAACCGTCTCCCTGAGAGCAGCTTGGAAGAGAGGGGCGGGGTCAGCAGCTCATTAACATTTAAAGGAAAGTGCTACAAAAACGGCTTGATCTGAAAAGAGCTGTTTTTGACAGGGTAAAAAAGGTGTTTTTTTACACTACCATTGAGAAATTTTAACCAAACTATGTTACAGACTTTTCATTAAGACCCCAAAGAATCAAATCAACTTGTGGAAAATGGGCATCCTATGACCCCTTTAACAACTACCTTACTAACCATTAATAAGCAGCAAATTAGGAGGTTGTTCATGGAAAAGTCTTAGCTAATAGTGAATGTGTTCCCTATTCTAAAGTGTTACCGACAAAATATGTTTCAGGGATGCTACTAGGATTCTAGCTCAAATAGTCTTCCTCTACCTGTACATATATTTATTCTTAAAAACAATTCAAGATACCGGAATGACAGCAATAGTTCACACATTCACTGCATCTAGCTAATCTTCATGAAGTTCCTGATTCTGACACACTAATACAGGAGTGTCAAACTCAATTCCTGGAGGGCCGGAGCCCTGCAGAGTTTAGATTCAACCCTAATTAAACACACTGATCCAACTAATCAAGTCCTTAAGTCCTTGAAAACTACATGGAATGTGTGTTGGAGCAGGGTTTGGAACAAAACTCTGCAGGGCTCCGGCACTCCAGGAATTGAGTTTGACACCCCTGCACTAATATAACCAAATGTGAGAACACATACACAGTGGCTCCTGCCATGTTTCATACCCTTCTGACATTTCGGAATGTATGCGCAATACACGGACATACGTCATCAAATACTGTGATAAGAGTCCCATCTACATCACCAAGGAAATACATGATGCAGATATTGTAAAGGCATACAAGTAAATTATACTTATATAATTGAGTGCCCATCTCTGGTTTATGCAACCAGCCAGAACATTTAAATTAGTTGTGAAGCAGCCTTTACCCTCTGCTTATCACCAATGTAAAAGAATGAATAATTAATGTATGCACATAAAACAAATGACTGCCAATTCATCTTTTTTTTAGGACTCAATGTAAATTATAAAAAAAAAAAAAAATTGAGATAATTATTCGTAACTGCCCTTTTTATGGTAGTTATGAATAAATATTAAACGTTTAGTGGAAAAAAATGGGTAATTCCCACTTTGTATTTTAATCAATTTTTAATTCAAATACCTCACATCCGGTCTGGCAGTTGCATACAGTCTAGCCGTATGTTTTCAACGCACCTAAAGCTCAAATCTGTCAAACCTGTCATTTGTCAGAGATGAAATGGCGACCCAAGATGCAACAAAGAGCTCTGCAGCTGACAGGCATATCAATAACACCACCACACAAATTCAGGAATATTTTTTGTATTTGAGTAAAATCTACTCGAGTACACTTTGGAACAAGAGTACAACAAAATAGAATATACTTCAAATGTTGAATATACAAACTAGATTATTCTTAACACAAACATCTTGTTCTCCCTCTTTAAGGACTAATAAAAGCAAAAGCAAAAAAAATGCGCAAGAAATGTATTCGCAGGGAGGATGCATGCTGCCAATTCACCTTTTTTTCTCATTGTGTTGACAAACTGGCATCATTCCGGGATTTGGATCTGGATTTGATAACACCTAAATGGTACAGCCATTTTTTTGTTTTTCTTGCGGGTGATTGAGACGACAATGCACAAAATGCTTGGCAGTTTGTTTGCCAATAATACTGTGCTTGGTACAATGTGAGGGAAAAAAAAAACAAAAAAACCTTCAAAACAAGAGCTTAACACAAAAGCTTAATAAGCTTGACTTAAAAGAAAAATGACAAAAAATGAAAAATAAAAATGTTCTAAGGCTGCATTGTTTATAAATTCAGTAAACTGTATAATTCATATATACAATGTCCATTTCTTCCCTTAGTAGAAGGGGGAGAATCAACACGTTCCTGTGAAACACGGGCAGAAGCGTGCACTCACAGTGATCATCAAAAGAATCTTGCTGGTTTTGCCTTGTTAAAGAAAAAAAAAAAACTTTATACAAGTTATAAAAAGTTGAATTTGACTACTTCAACTACTCACTCCTTAGTGTTCTGCTTAGCTGTTATTAGCATCAAAGTAAGATTAAAAATAAAAAATAAAAGGAGACGTGTAGTGTTCTTTACATTGGTCCCTTTAACAACTCATAATTGAAATGACGGACATCCAGATTTAATCTACATGATGTGAGAACTGTGGTCTTTGCCTGATTTTTTATTTATTTATATTTATATATATATATATATATATAAAAATGAAACCACACTTGAACTCCGAAACTGTACAAGTCAACCAATCTCCAGTGTGTACTCCAGAATGTGATTGAAGAGTATCTGGGTAATAGAAGTTCATTTATTATTGTTCATGACTGACAAAACGCTCTTCAGCTCTCTGCTTCGGATTGTGGTTTTGAACCTTCCTCTACCACCACTGCTGCTGCGTCCTGTGTGGGATTGTCCTGCTTCGGCTGTTCTGCCGAAGTGCTGTCGGATTTCGACTCTGAGGTCTGAGCTACGCTTTTTGCTTTTGGAGAAAGCTGACTCTGGTGAATCTGGATCTGAACTGGAACTGACGCCGGGGTAGATGTCGTATGGATGGAGATTGGGACTTGAGTTTGCGTCTGGATTGAAACAGGGACCTGCGTCTTTGCCTGAGCTGGACTCTGTTGGGCCGGAACTGCCAATCTGACCACCTGCGTCCCTGGCGCCACAGACACGGGCGTAAGGGCTCGGACGGTGAGGGGGGCGGCCATCAGATTGATGCCTGTTGGGGTGCCCAGTTTGGTCTGTAGCTGGCACTGCGTGAGCTGGGTTGCGGGGATGGTGATTATCTTGGCGAGCTGGACTGTGATCTTGTCACCGTTCTCGGCTGTGGCGGGAACCATCGTTGGCATGGTCTGGATTAGGACTTTGGGTGCGTTCGCACCAGTTGCTGAGCCGATGTTGGTAGGTGCTGTGGTTAGGAGCGAAGGGTTTGCTGACTGCACGGCCACCGTGGAGATCTTCTGTCCCAAGGAGTTTGTCATGACGACCGGAACTTGCATAGCAACCCGCACAGTCCTAGAGACAAGATTATGTTTTAAAACAATGCTGAAAAATCCACTATTTTTTTTTTAACACAAATTTAAGTCTGGTTACCTCGGTGCATTGGCATTGGGGATAAAGGTGGCATGGGACGGCTGTGATGGATCTGTTGACGCAGAGACCGTTACAATGCGCTGAAAAGGAGTTGCATTGAGTGCAGCTTTAGCTTTTGGGGACCCCGGATGGACCACAGTCCTTCCTCCCCCTCTCAAGATGGCAGGGGTTTTGGAGAGGTCAGTTACCAATAGAGTGTCAGATGAGGGAGGAATGCGCTCATAGGTCTTCTCTCTGATTAGGTCATCGCCTGGGTCGCACTTATCGTCGTCGATGATGACAATGTCTTTAGGCATTTCCTTAAACTGATACACCAACCTCTGACCCTCTACTTTAGCCAAGATACCTCTCTGATAGTAATACCTGAGAGTCAAACAAAGACAAAGACAACATTAGAACAGAGAGATCTAGTTATGGATGCCAATTGCAACTGGTCAATATGGCATTCAAGCCATGCAAAACGTGTTGGAAAAAGTCATCTTAAATATCTTATGGTGTTTGCACACACAAGCTCCTCACCTGAGTGCTCTGCCCATGGTTTCATAGTTCATGTCTGGTTTGTTCTTGTGTTTGCCCCAGAGCTTTGACACAGCTTTGGAGTCCACCAGTTTGAAGATGCCCTTCTCCCTCTGTGTCCACTTAATGTATCTGGGACAGGTGTTCTTATCCTGCAGCAGGTCCAACAGAAACTCCCACAGGTATGTACTTCCTTTAAGAAAACACAAATATCTCACGAGTTAAGCATAATTTAAGTAGTATTTGCTAATTAACAGCCCACTGACATGGCAAAACACAACTGATAACTGAACTAAGTTCCATTCACAAATAAATATATAATATTGGGGTGGATCTTACAAATCCCATCAAGAACGTCACCATCATTATATACTAGGGATGCACAATATTAGACTTTTGCCGATATCCCGATATTTTTAAACTCATTTTGGCCGATAGTCAATGCTGATACCGATATATTTCCTTTTGTTTGGAAACATCAAGTCTCTCCTGTGCAGAAAATATAAGCAAATTTTTTTTTAATTTTGGTTAGTTTTTAACAAGAACTTATTTGTTAGAATTAAATAAACAACAATGAAGTTCTTTTGTAATGACAGTACATTGAAGATTTGAAAATAACTATAAATTATATTCAATCGCTGCATTTAAATTTTTATTTTTTTTTCAGAAAGATGCAGTGGTAACCTTAACATTTTGTGTTAAGATTTAACATTTGTAAATGTTCTAAAGCAAGAGTTTTAAAAATTCGGAAATTTTTTTTAGAGCTCATAATTTGTTTAAAAAATATAACCTATTGACACAATGAATAAATCATTATATATAAAATTATTTAAGTGACATGTTTGTTTGTTTTTTTTCATGTAAGCTATAGCTTCTGCACTTTAAATCAAAATACACTCATGATTTTATGGCATCAATTACTACTTTATTTAATCAGAAACAGTCTAAATGTTATTTGTGTATTTTGCTTTCATTTTATTAGAAGTAGGCCAACAGCGCCCCCTACGGAATTAAAACTCCTTACTGAGCGGGCATTAGGACCGGGGGATGTTGCCGCTGCATGTGCTATTACTGTTGACTATCACACACCAAAGGTATCAATCTGTACATGCATTCTCAGTTTAAATGCAGCGATCCAAAACAGTGAATATAATCATCATTCAGGCAAAACTTTGCTTCAAGAATGAGCCACACTGCTGACGTGATCAAGGGGTCACTATCACTAGCACACCTGAGCACATGTGAGTTAATGTATTCCTCTTATCGGCAAGACATATCGGCATAATTTTTCATATCGGACTGATGCCGATATTTACATTTAAAGCCATTATCGGCCGATTGTGCATCCCTATTATATACAAATACCTCAACAAGGTTGGTTATGATTTTTTTCTTTTAAAGAAGTCTCTTATGCTCATCACGGCTTTATTTTTAAAAAACACAGTAAAAACAGGAATACTACAATGTAAAATAACTGTTTTCTATTTTAATACATTTTAAAATATTCTCATTCCTGTTATGACAGCTGAATTTTCAGCGACCATTCATCCAGTCCTCAGTGTCACAGAAATGTGTTAATTATCCTAACGGTTGTACTTTTAAGATATTTATGATGAACAGCATTTATTTAATAATGAAAGTATAACATTTAATGCATCCTTGCTAGATAAAGTAATAAATTCCTCAAAAAAAAAAACTTACTGACCCCAAATGAATGGTAGTGTAATCATACTTAATAACAATTATAAATTGTACATTTATTGCTTTCTAAAGCAATGTCAAATCTCCCAAAATTAATTCAACAATTAATATCATCATGATGAATATGATGCACAAAAGTAATATTAATACTGTAATGAGAATGACATCACATTAAAGCATCACTTCATTTTACACAAATTTCATTTTTCTTTTGATTCTGGAATCAAATATGACCCAGATTTTTCTTCACCCAATAAACATATAGCACTGAATTTATAGGACATACCTTTCCCTTCTCTGGACTTCTTCTTGATGCCCAGATCTGGAGATCCGTTTGAAATGTGATGGGGTTTGGGTTTTCGCCCAGCTGAAAGGATGAAACATATAAAGAACAGTTAAGATAAAGATAAAGTCAATTAAATAAATGTTAAGTTAATATTGAAAAAAGCCAAAGAGAATCCATGTAAACTTGACAAAAAAAAATTATCCAAACAGCGCTTTTCACAATAATGTTCTTGTGTTCGCACATTTTCTTCTCTTAGTGGGTTCCGTCTCCAGCATCTCAGGCTCCTCAAGAACCGTAACCACCTCCATAGGCTCTGAGTCCTCTGTGCTGACCTCCACCACGGTCTCTGTCAGAACGTCAGGTCGCATGGCAGCATGCAGGAACTCCGAAGTGTTGACACATGGAGGCACAAACACCTCTACAACAGAAAAAAATAAATACATTTTAGAAATGATGTACTCCTCACTGTGTGGCTATCTAGTCTTATTTTGTGATGTGAAAGCTAAAGTTGATGGAGGAAGAGAAAGCGATGGAGCGATTGATAGAGAAAGAGAAAGCAGAGCTCACCTGGGCTCCAGTCTCCACGCAAGCTGGAGGGAGAGTCCATGTGTAGAAGAGCTTCAGCAGCCTCAATGGTTTTATCTGAGCAATGCACAGAGCCATGAACTGATGCTTCCACTGCAACAGACGGAACACACACAAAAAAATGCTTTTGTGATTGTTTTTTTTTGTGGTAACCTCTATATTTGTGATAAACAGCTTTATCTAATTTTAATTCTCATATTTAATCATTTAATGTGTCCGATATGTTGATATATACACTACCATTCAAAAGTTTGGGGTCGGTTTTTGAAAATGACCTTTCATGCAGTGTGTAACACAGCTCTAAGTGAATGAAAACATCCTGCAAAGTTTTAAATCTGAAAGTGCACCATGTATAAAGTTATTGTCTCTCAAAAGAAAGAGTCGACTCTGAATCATTGAAACGAGTCGTTTTTAAAACGAATCCCAAGCCGTTTCATGTTGACGTCAACATGAAAAATTAGCATATTGCCCGCCCACTTGTTGGCCTTTTCACGTTGGTCTGAATGAAAATGCAAATTCATTCTTTGCCACTAGGTGCTGCTTTTGGATCGGTAAAAATAGCGGTTTCCCCGGTATCGCTGTACAAAAACCAGCACTGTGCTCACAAACGCTGCTTTATCAGGCATGATGAAATTAAACTGAGACCAACCGGACCAATCACCGCAGATTAGCGTCACGCAAAGGAGGGGTTTGGAAAAATTTATCGTTGAGTGAATCGTTTGGGAATCGTTGAGCAAGTAAGGTAAAAATAAATGCATATTATAAGACAATGAAAGTGTTTTTTGACCTTGCATGCATGTCAACCTGTTGTTGGGGACTCCCAAAACCAAAATATTAACCTTTCATTACCCATAATAGGGGCACTTAAAAATGTGTTTTTGAAAGAAGTCTTTTTTGCTCAAAGAAGTTATTTTTTGGTCAAAAATACAGAAAAACTGTAATATTGTGAAATTGTACAACAATGTAAAATAACTGTCCATTTTAATATATTTTAAAATGTCATCTATTTCTGTCAAGGAAAAGCTGAATTTTCAGAAATTCTGAAACATTTTGTAACATTAGAAATTTATTTCATGTAATTTTTGATTAATCCAATGCAATGCACCCTTGCTAAATAAAAATGTATTGCTTTTTTTTTTAAATCTTAATGAAGCTAAAATTTTGAACAGTAGAGTAATTAACAAATAGAATATTTGTACACTGAGCTGCCAATAGAGGGTGCTATTGGATGGAAAACGTGCATTCAGGGTTACTCAATATAATATCCAAAACAATTTCCACCAAATAAGTGTCATGTTTGGGTATGAGTGACAAGAGAAAACTGGTCTAGCAATTGCTATAAATCAAAAACAAGTTCACAGAAAATACATTACAAACTGATTTTTTATTTATCAAATATATTTGAAACTAATATTTTTGTTGCCTCTTGAAAAGTCTTTATTGTTGAATAAGTTTCTTTGATGACATCCACTTAGCATGCAGACTAAATCAAGTGTGTGAGTGACACTTAAATATGGTACTTAAGAGCTTTAAAAACACTACCTGACAGTTAAAGAGGAGTTAAAACTGACAGCAATATGCAGTGGCAACGCGAAAGGAAGTCATTTATTTTCAAAGACTTGAGATGAGTGACAGACAAAGCAAGTTGAGCACTCTGAGAATGAGTGTTTTGAATCACTAAATATAACTAACACAAATGAGTGTGAGAGGACATCTAATGTAAATCCCATAAGGACCTATTAATACAAAAGTGCAACCTACAAACTGTAGACTACTTAAGATTCTGCCTTTGGACCTAAATAGATCCAGGGGTGTCATACCTGCAACCAGTCTTCTCAAAGCCCAATTAGTGTGCTCGAATACAGTTTGGATAAAAGCATCTGCTAACAAGTCACTTCCTTGAATGCTCTTATTTAGAAACAGGTGCAGACTGGCTGATCTCAGACAAGCAGTTCATGCATATATAGGACGGCACCTTCAGCCCTGCTCCCTTTGACGTTAACAACCAGAGCCACTAGCACCTGTGCCAGTCTATCCAAGCCGCCACTGAACTCCCATTACAACCTGAGCCTGCCCATGTTTGGCTATGTGTGTCTGTTGCTGCACACGGGGGCTATCTTTAGGCAGTCCCAGTCATAAACATACACACAGTGTCCTCTAGAATGGGTGACCCAGCATGCATTTACTTCCTGTATTCTGAAAGATCTGCCCTTGGAGACAGGACACAAGTCAAAGTGTATTTATTAACAAAATTCTTATGGTTTACATGACTACACTGCAAAGTTAATATAAGACTTCTTTCAGACAATTACTATAAATTAGAAAAACAATAATTAAAGTTGCACCTATTGTTTGTAAGTATGTTTTGGTCTTTGTAGATATATTTTTAACAGGATAGCTCACGCAAAAAATTAACAATATAATATTTACTCACCCTCATGTTGCTCTACGCCATCATTTTTGGAAGAACAAGAGGGTGATCATTGTTAGCCATTTTTTGTTTATTATTCAAAAAATAAAAATAAATGTAAAAAAACCTCGAAAAGGTAAAAGTAACACTCTTTAAAAAAAAAAAAAAATCAAAATACAACTCGTACTTAAATGTTCATAAAATACTAGAAAAGCTGCTAAATAGCCAATCACATCATTGTTGTTGTTCATATAATAATACATAAATTACTATTAGCAACAATTCAGCAAATCGTAAACAAATGACACATGAGACTGAATATTGTGGTACTATTTTTCTGTCACTAAAATAGCGGTCCACAAGAAAGTAGTGCTGTCCCTTCTCACTTCCGTGTTTACAGTCGTCAGAGCTTTCCCTCCAGTTCTTTCTGAAGACGCTCTACGAGCTTCCTGCCACTCAATCCCCGCCCCGAATCTGATTGGCCGCTTCTCTGAGCAACGCCCCAAGAAACAAGCAAGATGATTGGCCAGGTGTTGGATTTCGAACGCGACGCCAATACTATTGGACGACAAGTGCGGTCACTCAAAATGTAGACAGCCCAGTGGAATAACAATGCTTCCGCCATCAAATTACCTCTAAAATATAAACATTTAAAGGAAAAGAGTCAAATATGCACTCGACACTTTAACAGCGACACATTTAAGGTCATTAAAGACAAAGTGGAGTTAAAGAAATAATTAAGCGTTAAATGTTGCTCACGGAGCTTAACATTTAGCGCTAAAATGTGCAGAAAGCAGAGCGACCACGTTTAGATAACGGGACATCTGCGACATGAAGCAAACATGTATTTTATTACTCAGACGCAATATTTTTGACACACATCTTGACGCCATAAATAAATGAATACTGAAGTTGTAATGTAGTGGCTCCGCGTGTATTTTTTCCTCCATATGCCACATTTCCTTTGACGACGAGGCATCAAAATAAACCAATCGTCAAACGTAAAGCTCTCAGACGCTATTTTATTAAGAAAACAATCCACTCAAATTCACATTTTAGTAAGCTCTATTTAAGAGTTAATACTAAAACCCAGTGCCCTTCCGACTCCAGACAGCGTGGCAAAGACGTAGGAAAGACAACATCTCTCCCACTTCCTGGTTTCAGAGCAGCGCACCACCTCCAGAGAAACCCGTTATTCTAACACACTCCACATTTAAAACACCCTCAGCGCCATGCAAACTCAACACTGTGCACGCTGCTCACGCGCAACACAACAAACACACCTTCACGCTACTTTTCAGCACTCCAAGAAAACAGATAAGAAAATGAAGCAACGCCATGCAGGTTGCCATCCAAGGTGATCACTTCCTGAAATGCCCTCCATTACTTTACAGCACAACTTAGCGGATCTCAGCGCTGCGGCGCGCACTGCTCTGCTGCGCCCCAAGCAAACCCACGCTGGCGAGGCTGAACACGCACTTTGGTCTTTTTACCTGCTCGGATAAGTAGATCGAGCTGGTTAGCGGGTCCCTCATGCAGCGACGTCGCCATGTTTCGTCCAGAGGTGCAGAATCACATTGACTCGCATTGAAAGCGTTTACAGACGCATGACTCGCATATCACTCCGCCTCCACAGGAAATCTCCACAAACGCAACAGCGCGCACAGATCCTTCCGCGCCAAACACAGGAAATTCTACGCGCGCTCTGCTTTACGTTCGATTTACGTCAACGGCATTTTCCAAAAAAACTTTTTAAATATATATATTTTCAGAGTGTATAATAACTAAAACAACACACATACGTATTTTAAAAGACAATGTATATAAAATTCTCCACAAAGTCAAATCAGTGAAAACAACGTTTCTGAATAGACAAGTTTCTTTGCGTCGTATTTTGTATTTTATCTAGAGGGACATTTTTAATTAAATATTCTTAAACATCTTCTTAATGTTTTTAAAGCACTTTCAACTGTGATATAAAAGTATATAAATAATTGAAAATAACTGTTCTGAATAGACAATGATATTGTTTTGTATTTTATTCTTATCTAGTTGGACATTCTTTATAAAATGTTCTTAAACATCTTCATATTGTCTTTTAAAGGGGTCATATGATGCGATTTCAATTTTTCCTTTCTCTTTGGAGTGTTATAAGCTCTTGGTGCATAAAGAAGATCTGTAAAGTTGCAAAGACTAAACTCTCAAATCCAAAGAGATATTCTTTATAAAAGTTAAGAGTCAACCACGCCTACGCCCCCACATGTCTACGTCACTATGTGGGAAGATTCGCATAACACCGCCCAAATGTTCACGCAAAGAAAGAAGGCGTAACTTTTATTCTCGCTGTAGTATTGTTGTTGCCGCCGATAATGTTCTTTTTAGCAGCATCATATGACCCCTTTAAGCATTTTTAAACGGTTATCTCAATGTATCTGGACGAATAATAAAGGGGCGGGGTATTATGCTGTCACGTGACACTTTTAAGTACTTAGTATAAGTATCTTCTAAATATTGACATTACAAGTGACTTCTAAGTATTGACACTAAGTTGTATTGACCATATTCTGTGCAACACTTCAAAAGAATGTCCAAAAGAGGGCGGTAGAGACCCATCACACGACAAGGCCTTGGCACCAAATCTATACAAAACACCGTTATATACATCACCCTCAAGGTGCTACAAACCGGTATTACTTTCTACAATAGAGCACAAAATGAGATGTTAGGAAAACCCAGTCACCATTTACTTTCACTGCTTTTTTCCATACAATGAAAGCAAAATGTAACTGAGGCTCTGAGTTCTTAACATTCTGCTTGCATAATTTTTGTGATCCATGAATGAATTAAACAACATGGAGGTGACCAAATGATGATGACTTTTATTATTTTTTTATTTTGGGTGAACTGCCTCTTTAAAGTGACAATCTCTCATACATCAGTAAAATATAATTCTATAACAGGGCAATTTTGATCAGAAATTGGTTGTAAAAAAAAAATAGAAGTGTAGCCCTGTGTTTGACTTATAGTTACTGTAACCAAAACAAGAAAGCTATTTTTGGGCAACATGGTTGCAGAATCATGCTTCTGTAGTTACCCTCTGAAATGATGCATCACTAAATATCCCATAAATCCCAGCCCATAGGGACGGTGTTCTATATACAACATATAATAACAAATAGTCTGCAAGCATCAAAATAACCAGGGTATATAACCACTAACATAACTGAGACATAAGAAAGCAATGTTCAGCTATTATAGTCAACTCTCTCTGTAGCATTTAATAGCCATCAACGTCCACCCATAAAGTATTTTGGTTGGGCGATTAAAGTTTACAAATGCATTATGCTGGATACAAGTCATGTTTCTCAAACAGTGGCTTCAATAAAGTCTCTCTGCCAAAATCAACTACTGGAAATCACAAGATTCAAAATATTTTAATGTGCAATCAGGAATAAAGAGCATTTTGTTCTAGTGAACAAAAGCACATTAAGAGTGGTAGCTGTGGTAAAGTGTGTGCAAATTGTTTTCCTGCCATTTTAATGGGGAATTCAATATTGATGTGCTTTGAATAGCTAGAAGCTGACACGACAGGCATGTGATCAGTTAAAGACAAAAAAAGAAAAATAAACAGTTGCCCCCCCATTTAATATGACTGCACAATACTACTAGTACTATTACTACTACTCAAAATAATAACAATTATTACATTACATTATTACAAATATTTTTTATTCTAGTATCACTCAAAAGATAAATCAATAAAGAAATATATTACTATTGCAATACTGCAAAAAAAAGTTTTTAATAATCATTTTATTTCACAACAGAACAACAGTAAAATTACATTACTACTATTTATGTCTGTCCTAATTTCTTTACTTTCCAAGTTTCTTTACTTTTCTGGGAGCCAAGCTGCTTCAGGACACTGAAAACACTGAATCATGAGCTAATTGTCTGTAAATTAACACAACTGTGTGCTTCACTCTGAAACATGCAGCGCATATATATTTAAAGGGCTTTTACAAAGTCTTGATTTTGTTTTGGGGGTGTACTAGAACATGCTCTCATGCTTGGTGGTTCGAAAAATGCATTATTTTTCACATAATTTACATTATTAAAATACCTTTCTCCCCAGCCTGGCACAAACGGCTCGATTAGTTCCGGCTTTGATGAAGGTCCGCCTTCCGAAAAACAAAATGTGTTGTGATTGGTTAGCTGTCCCAGTGCGTTGTGATTGGCGAACAGCTTAGACGGTGTTTCAGTACTGCCACGCCCTTTGCTCCGTCTTTCAACAAAAACTTTTGGCGAATCCGGCACTGTACTCCCTCGTGTTGTGGAAGCTGTCCTCAGTAAAATGCTCAGCACACAATAGCAAATTGGGGTTATAATGCTCAGGAACAGAGTAAAAAAATAAATTGCAACCACCGTTTCCTGACATCATCCGCTTTCGGAAGCCCAAACAAAGACGTTTGAGCACGGAGGTGAAAAAAACAGCGTTTCAGGCGGTCACGCAAGGGACGAGAAGCGCAGCGTCGTGTCATGCCACATCTTTAAAATTTAAATACTTTATTTTCTGAGTGTAGGCACACCGGCGGCGCCGTTCGGCGTCTGTTCGCGTTGCCCAGCTACGTCGTGTTGTACTTGTAAGAATTGTTCTAGACATGCCGAAAATTTTACGCTACAGCACAGCAGCTCTTCTTCGTTTTCTCTGATGCACTAACTCTGCAGCAGCACTTCTTCTTCGTCGTCTCGTCTGATGCACTCACTCAACCAAGCGTTCTAACCACAACCTCGCCCCTCCCCACCCCCCAACCATTAGAATTTCTGTAGGCGGGAATTATTTGTAATGATATTCCAATGAGCCGCTTTGTGATATCACAAAGCCCGGAAAACAAACGCTGTAGTCCAAACGAGCCGTTCGTTGTAGTTCTTGAAAAGGGATTTTTAAAAAACGAAATATCTCCCTTTGGAGTGGACTTTGAGATTTGTAACTTTCTAGATCTTTTTTATGCCCAAATATACACACTACACACTGACTAAAATTAAAAAAGTGAAAAAGCATAATAGGACCCCTTTAATTAAATTGAAGCCTTTACAATTTTATAACTGATTAGGCCATATTGCAATTCTGGTTTTATTCCGATTGTGCAGCCCTACGAGGTAGTGTGACTATGAGCATTTATATTTAGTGAGCATACATTAAAGATTGTGTATATGTTCATGAAGTGATGCTGAAGCATGAAAGTGTGTGTACCTTCGAATGTCCTCGCCAAGTGTTCTCATAGGTTGAGTGAAAATGAGCCAGACAGAACAGTGGTTATGTAGTAACAGTGTTCTCACCTGTCTCCAGCACTTCTGTCTCCACCTCCTGCTCCTCAGCCACTCCCTGCATCAGGTAGGTCTCGTCATCGTACACCAGCACCTGAGCAGCGAAGCCCTGCTCCAACCGCGCACTGGGTACCGGCTCCACGATCACCGCAGGGTACTCCACCTCTCCCTCTATTTCTCCCTCAAACTCATACACACCCTCCTCCTAGACGGAAAACAGAGTTTCCATGAACAAGAAGAAACCTAAAAACTAAAAATAAACCTTCTAAACATTCTTTAAAAAAAAAAAAAAGGGGGTTGCTGTAAAGTTTTACTGCACTATAATGAACAACAGTTTGGACAGTTCTACTAAACTCTAGGGCCGTTCACAACACGAACAATAACTATATTAGCATCCACACGAATAAACGATAACATTCTGTTTATTATAAGCACATGCTGCAGATTCGCTGGCGATATTTTTATTGTTCTCTAGATGGAAAAAAAATATTTCTGAAAGTGATTCCAATCGATCCTTCACAGGGAGTTTGATTGACAGGCGATCTGACCAATCATAACGCCGAATCTGCTATTTTGTCCAACAAACAAACCAGACAGAAGACTCTATTAACGTCGGTGGACTTGAACTTGAAAAATGGTGTGGAAAAAAACACTTTCCGTGGTTGAAACAAGATACCTTCTGATGTTCATTCATGTTTATTTCGTGCTATAACTAGTGAAGAGGAAGAGATCATCAGTTCATGTGCTGCTTGAACTGAGGAGCTACAGTGATCTGTCACGACACATTAAAGAGCCACAAAACAGTATTTATTGTTTGAATTTCTTTTCAAAAATTTGAAAGCGGAGATTGTTTCATACCTAAAGTAGCCTGCTCTGTCTTGTCTGTTGGCGCGTTGTCAGTTTCCTCTTCGTTTCGCGTGAGAACATGATGTGTGGCATGAGAGCGCCATGGCTTGTCGGACATAGCAACAGTAACTAAGGGAGGCAGGTCTTTGCGAAGGGTCATTTATATCATTCTTGTGTCGTTTTTGTTATAACTGTGGTGTAGACTTTCCTAGTTAGGAAGATTAAAACTTTGTAGTTATTAGTAATTTAGTAATTATTGTTAGTAATTAGTATTTTCTACTATTGGCATCACATTTGATCCACTTTGCTGTGCTTTTTTTATGAGACACATGCTATCAAAATTCATTTACTCTGTTAGAACACATCAGTGTTGTTATTCTTAGCTAAAAATAATTTTCAGTAACTGAAATAAAGTTGAAATAATATGAAATATAAACACGACATAAAAACTTCTGAAATAAGCTGAAGTACTAAAATTACTAAAACTATAACTAAATAGAAATATAATACAAACAAAAATATTATAAAAGCTCATAACAAAATTGCTAAAACAATCTAAAATTAAAACAGAAAATATACAAATAAAAGCTATTCTACTGTAGAACAATTCATCTGTGAAATTTAATTTACAAAAAAAAAAAAGTTTATTTTCATAATCTTTAGTCAAAATCTGAAAATTTGCTTCCACACTAGATTGGCGCTCCTTTTTAGATGATGAGGAGATGCAAATAAAATGCTTTAAAATCAAGACCCTCTGTTTTCTCATCCATTATTCTCTTTAAAATACATCACAATACTGAATTAAATTGACTCATTGACTGTCTGATGCATAACGCACACAAACACTTTCTGAGTCTGGCCAGCTCTAATCTGATTGGCTGATCTTCGGTCAGTTCCTGCCAGAATGAACTACAAAGTAGGCCTGGGCGATAAAACGGTATCGATATTTATTGACGGTACACCTTCATCGATAACGATATGAAAAATGTTCGATATAGCGCACGATATAGGCACGTGAGTGATGCAGACAGCTCACACGAACACATGCTGAATTGAGTGCTGTGCCTGCCTGTGATGAGGAGATTGTGAATAAAAAGTCGAATTTAAAATAAACATTTGCATTTGAATGCAAAAATGGTGCAATCGAATGTTAGGAGTGCGTCAGGGAGCGTCACCGGTGGTGTGCGAGATGCAGTGATGATGATGTAAGTGACATTGCATTTTAATGTTTTGTTAGTCTAGCCCACGAGACGTGCCGCTGCTGAGTTATTCATTCAAAATATTAGAGAAATATAGTAGCTCAATGCGTAGAAGATCTTGATTAGGTTAAAACCGAAACCAAGCCATTCACACAGAACGCATATTCAGCACATTTTTAGACAGACAAATATGACTGCTGCACTCGCGTCTCATGCAAGAGATGCAAAGAAAGTCATGCAAAGTTAAAACAGTTTTAACGTTTAGAAAACGCGACGCGAATTTGTGAAGGTTTATTTAATTTTACTGCTTCTCATATGTTTTTAAATGCAATCTGTGTGATCAGTGATTTGGCTCTTTGTATTAGGCTAAGCAATGCATAAACACATGATGCTGTTTTGTTTATAATTGTTTATGCAGATTACAAAATTATATTTGATTTATATATGTTAATTTAGACGTTATGCACGTTTTTATAGACAGTTATTTGAATTGACAATTAATGCGCTGCATTATTTTGCTCATTGCGCCCTCCTGTGGCCTCGGGAAACCAGTCAAAAGTTTCCTTAAGACTTATTTAATCTGCATATAAAACATAAGAAAGGAGACATTAGTTTAAATTTTATTTTGTGTTTGACTTGTTTTAAAAAAGGTTATAAAAATGTCAATAATTATCGATACCGAACGATATGAAACATATATCGTTGATATATTTTTTAGCTATATCGCCCAGCCCTACTGCAAAGTCAACAAAATTCATGCCAGTAGTCAAAAATGAGCCATTTTATGGTTAGACTAGCAGCAACATAATATAAAGGGACCAATATGCTAAAAAAAAAGCTGTAAAAATCTTACCGGTATATGGTCATCCACTGCAGTAACATACTCCACCACTGCTCCTCCACTGTCTACAAGCACCACAGACGTCATCACTCATACCCCACACTCTGCTGACCCCCTGTGGCAAACTCCAGGACTGCAGTTAGACAGCATGACAAGAGACAAAAGACATGAAGTGGGAAAAAAAAAAAGATCATTAGCACAACATCTCAAACATTCATGAACCTCGTTTGCAGAGCCAAAACGACCTGCTCTCCCGTTCTCTCAGCCTGGTTCAACAGGAAACTCACTCTTGCTAAGGAACAGGACATCAAAACAGGAAGCCTGCCTGTGAAACATTGAAGCCATGGCAACAACCAACATGCTTTGGTTTGTGAAGCTGAAATGAAAATTATTACATCTGCAAAACAGTGGCAGACTAAAAGTCCTTCTCAATACATCTTCGTAAAAAGAGAAACAAGAAGCATCACTGGGTCAGTCTAGCAGCTGAATTATTGAGTGACTTTGCAACGACGCTCCAGACAGCTAAAGTGACAGAGCGATGCAATACACTGGTAACATGCACATGCTCAAACCACTGAAAACGAAAGGGATGGTTCAACTAAAACTGAAACTCTCATTATTTACTCAACTCTCATGTCTTTCCAAACCTGTATGACTTATTTTATCCATGAAAAACAAAAAACTGAGGTTTGGCAGAACATTCTAGTCATTCTTTTCCATGCACTAAAAGTGAAAGCGAATGAATGCTGTCCAACTAGAAAAAGCACCATAAAAGTATGCCATATGACTAGAAATGAATTACAATTCCAGTTACTGAGAATTATCACCGTAAAAAGGTTACCAGAAAGAGAAACTGTGAATAGAAACCATTAATTGAACATCAGATAACTAAAACATTAACATGGAGAAAAAGCAGAATGCATGTGAAATCTCACTGCAATACAAAAGAAGAAAAAAATGTATTGTGTAAAGGCCATAAAAAGCCATAAAAAAAAAAATTGTATTTAAGAGCTTAAATGTTATTGAAATAATGTCAACTGCAGAAAAAAAAGATTGTAATCACTTAGAAAATGTTAGAAAAAAGCAAATGCTTCCAATCAAAGACTAATTTTAAAATTAAATTGTCCAAAATATCCGTTATATTTCATTTCATCACCACATACGACTTGTGTGCTATGTTACAAAGTTGTGTCCCAAATAGGGCTGAAACGATTATTCAACATTATTAATAATGTCAACAATGAAAAAAATCATCATCAAATGTTCCTGTTGTCGAATAGTTTTTACTTTATTTAAACAGTGTAATTTATTTATTTTATTTTACATCAAGGTGTATGCCGTGCTTCCAACTTTCTTATTCGTTTTGCTAATAAATGTTATTCATTTTGTTAAAGGGGACATCGGATGCAAAATTCAATTTACATGGTGTTTGAACTTAAATGTGTGTTGGCAGTGTGTGTACACAAAGACCCTATAATCATAAAAATCCAACCAGTGCATTTTTTTTTTCCCACATATCATAAGCACTTTCTCAGATCAAGCCATTCATAGATTCTTGGCAAAGTGATGTCACTTTGCACAGGCCCCTCCCACGACTGTTTGAGTGAGTTTGACGGGTGAGTGAGTGAGCTGTAAACAGTCCGCCATTGTTTCGACACCTAAAGGTGTTTGGTTGTTGGATGTAAGAATGAACATAGCAGTCGTCATTTACTCCCGACATCTGAGCCGCTGAAGATGCAGTGGATTACTTTTGTTTTTTAAGGGAGTGCGCCCCCCGATCTACCTAAATGTGTTTATATCTGCGCGAATCATTTTACTCTAGACTGCTTTCTGAACGAGGAACGATTCAAGGCAGGTTTTGCTAAAAAGTTAAAACTCAAGGATGGATCAGTACCCACTGTTCGTATTCCAGCTGCACCTCCAGAAGTAAGTCCCACATTTTATATTTTTATGATTAGCCTATTTGCTAATCGCCTTTCCTCTTCCTCGGAAGAGAGAGGAGGGGTGAGCATAGCTCATTAGCATTTAAAGAGTCATGCACCAAAAAGGGTCGCTGTGAACAGCTGTTTTTGACAAGGTAAAAAGAGTGTTGTTTTACACTACTGAGGAATTTTAACCAAAGTATGTTGCAGACATTTCATGAAGACCCTAAAGAATCATACCAACTTGTGGAAAATGGGCATCCGATGTCCCCTTTAATGAAAGTTCTATGTTTAACATAAGCGAGTTTGTCGTTGTACTGTTTAGTTGTTGTCCATTCCATCATGAGACCGGGCTCATTTAAAAGCAAAGGAAAGCGAGGAAAAATTCCAACGAACACAAACCCCACCCCCCGGGTGATACCAGTATTACCAGTATTGTTACACGACGATTAACCGGTGGGAAAATTTCATCATCGTCTCAACCCTAAGCTACACTTTATACTTAAACTACATAGAATGTACTGTCTAGTGTATGACATTTGGACTAGTTTATCATCCAGCATCAAAATCTGGGAAATCCTTTCCCCTCATTATGTAATTAAACTGTGACCGTTAAGTGCATAAAGTGTCCAACTTACAACACTTAATTTTTTCAGTTAAATAAGTACATCATCGGGCTATTTGAAGTGCACTTCTGACTGTTGAAATTTTCAGTGTAAACAAACTACTTGCACTATACTACAGAAACGCATATAACAGCAAAAATTTTAGTTATTTACACATTCACATACACTCAAATAATGGCATGTATGTTGTAACCACTCACATGGGCTACTTATGTTGCTTTTTTGTTATTTTTGGATATCAAACATTAAATATAATTGTATTTTCTGTTCACAGAAGAAACTCATGCAGTTTTGGTATGACATAAAGCTAGGGCTGGGCAATATGGCCAAAAAAATTATCACAATAAAATTGTTCATATCAGTTGATATTGATAATTATCACAATAAATTTCAAATCTTTATTTCTTTCCAGTTTAAAGGCAGATTTTTAAGTGAAAGTTGTGAAAACTAGACCGTTAATTGTGGGTTTAAACTACTCATGACAACATTGACAAACATTTCACATTTTGAACACTTTTATAGTCATTTTTCCTTAACAAAATAAATATATTAATAGAAAAATGTGTTTCTTAGTTTCTGCATGTTCTAATGAGTAATATTGTTTCAAATCATGAAATAGTTTGTGTTGCTGACTTTGATGACGCGTATCTTCAGCTCAGCACACTTTGCAGTGCAGGCAGAAATATTTATATTAATATTAATTTATGTTCATTATCAAAAACAGTAACATCTGTAAAAATTTTAACAACCTCATTTTTATATGGTGAAATTTAATTATTCTCACTGTTTGTGTTTACTAGCATTAACTATTGGTCTTCCATAGTAGCATAATTAGATCATGACAACCACAGTTAAAACCACATATAGCACCTCAATACCATGGTAAAAAATATAACTATATGGTTTCTAGGTATTTGTATGGAAAACTGTAGTCTAAATACATTTAGTATAAATGCACAAACGCTATAGCTTAATCACAAAAATACTGTAATTATATTCCATTACTCCTTTAATACATGTCTAGATTAATAATATAATTAAATTTGAAATGAATGTCCCACATTTCTGCCACAACAATACCATGGTGCAGTTAGTGTTACTACAATAAATCCATGGTAAATGATGGTGATTTATAGTTTGAAAAGCCTTTTGACTGTATCGTTGCACACAGTGTTTCTCCTGTTTATCAGCACTGTTTCATCTGGCTATAAACTAGTTTAAAACAGTGAGTCATTTGTGTTCTTCGCTGAATTCAAGTGCTTCACACTGGATCTCACAGCTAGTGTTGCGTGACCAAGACTTATCAACGAGTAAACGCATCTGCTCTAGTGAGCTCGTGCTGCGCTGCCACTTAAACTTTGAGTCGAATGGATAAATGCTCTGCTTGGCGCGGTTTAAATGAGCAGCGCTGTTTCGTTCCGCTTTTGGTGCATAACCATGATATCAAACATTTTTATCGAACTCTTCTTATCATTTTGTCGAGGAAAATTATATTGTGATAATTATCGTTTTATCACCCAGCCCAACATAAATCTAAGTAAATTAAAGAATTTTCTGAATTTTTTTTTTTTTAACTTACACCACATAAAATGTCTTCATGGCACCACAGATGTTTGCTTTTCCTTTCATTAATCGCAAAGAGTAAACAGAAATTGCCATACGAACAGACACTGAAGACTGTTAAAGTGCTCTAATAAATTCCCTGCCCAATTGCCACGGCAACGCAGTCACAAGGTTTGCAGGGAAGAAGAGGGGTGTGGCAACTAAACGTGACACACGCATACACACACACATCCTCATAGATGCATCTGGATCATGTTATCTGCAAATCACCAAATGACAAGTTTCTTTCAGCTTCCCCATTAGAGCCTTCCCCATAACTGCTGCTAAAGAACAACATATCTTGTATTTTCAGCTCAATAAATAAACAGAAACCATATAAAATTTCTGCATAGCCCACAACAACTTTCTGGCTGAATAGCATCATGAGTGTACCATAACTTGAAGTTTCAATTTCACCTGAGCTATGTAATTAGATAGCATCAAGGAAGTTCAAGTAGTAATTCATCTGTTTCCAACCTATTGTTCCTGGTGCAGCTGTGGAATTCCTCTGTGTTTCCCTTCCATTCCAAGACGTATTCCAATTCCCTAGGAAACATTCCAAGACATTCCTGGTCCACTCCTTGTCCTTGCAAAATCTCCACATTTCAAAAAACGGACTCCAGAGAAGATTCCCCTTCCCCACAGCACCATCAGGGAAAGAGTGAGTAAGGACCGAATGAGAGAAGTGCACGTAGTCTGCACCGTAGAGTTGTTGCACACTATTGCTTTCATTTCCCTTTTTGTCGTCCACACCTGTTTCTCTACGTCTTCCTTCTTTAATGGCTCTAAAGAGTCTGTCTCTCTATCATGCTCACATCTCAAGGGTGAGGCAGCGTTTGTAAGTTCGACTCAGCGTTCTGTGAGGCAGGATCACATGGTCGGAGCTTTCCGAACAGGCATCACATGACCAGGGCACAATGCTGCTTTTGTGTCTTCAACAGACTCTTCAGCGATGCAACGTCCCACCTTTAGAAACACACACACGCAACAGATGCCAAAATCCAGCCTCCAACAGCCCTCCAGATGCAACAAATTATTCCTCAGTGAGAATCTACTGGCCGAGATATTTTAAAGAATGTTTATGCTGCTCTTAAGCATAAAATACAAGCATACAGTGACAAAGGCTTTTCAAACTTTATAAAAGTATGACTTGTGCACTATATTCAAAGTCTTCTAAAGGCTTTTGTGAGGAACACACTGTAATTGTTTTATTTCAACATCACGTTCATAATGAAAATTTTCATTAAATCAATTATTTTGCTGTTACATTACATAAATCAATGTATATGTCCATTTAATAATGTAATGTCCATTTAATAAACAATGTAAAATATGCAGATTACTAATATCGCATACTGCAAGTTGTTATTCTGTAACAATACCTTACGCGAGACGGATTTTTCAGTCCCGCAAGATTCTGTCCCGCGCCCGCAGAAAAATATCTTATCTGGTCCCGCTCCCGCCCGCATAAAAGTAATCTATATAGATTTTTTTCAGGACATTCGAAGAAATTTACATGAAATGGTTCTGTAACATCTCCTAAGCTCCATAAACACTCCCGATAAAATATTTGTTATTTAGGCTAAGCATCAACATTCACAAACCACTGTTATTTTTAACAGAAAAGCAAGCATGGGCTGCTGCGTGCATGGTTTGGCATGGCAGAATGCGAGCAGCACTTCCTTTATCATCACTAAAAGCTGACATCTCAGTTAATCGCGATCTCATAAAGCTCTGTTATAACACAATAAATATATGCACAATGAATCTTTCACAATGTCTACACTTCGTGTGTTAAAATTAGAGAATTCATGAGCATGCAATTTCAGCACTGGGGTGAGTAGATTCTAACGTAATCACCTCTGATTGGCCATTGCGTTCCATAAATCAACAGCTGAGTCTGTGATTGGCTACATTGCGCAACCCTTTAAACACGTGTTATAAATAGAAACTATGCCTAGCTTGCGTATGTCAATCATTTTAATTTTAATATTAGTTGTTCTTTTTGCTTTTGTGCAACAGATAAATAACAATTTATATATTTTAGACACTTTATTTTTAGATCATTTCTATTTTGCGGGAGTTCCGCGAATCATTTTATTCTCCGGCATCCCGCACACACATGAGTTTCTTCCCGGCCGCACCCGCACTCGCCCATTAAGAGTTGTCCCGCGCCGCACCCTGATGCGTTGGGTCCCGCGGGAGTGCAGGTCTCTAGTATGAACATTCCGCCCAAAATCTACTTTCACCTGTTCCACATGTAAATCATACAGCTCAATAATGGCACAAGGGTGAGCAAATTAGAGGTCGACCGATTGATTGGTTTTGCCGATTAATTGGCACCGATAGCCGATTGCCGGAACTATCTGCAAAAATCCATGCCGATAGTTTTTCCGGGTTGCGTCCGTTGCTGGAGTGGCTGAGAAGGTCCGCTGTCATTAGACAGTACGAGAGCGGCCTCTAGAGGGGGAAATCACTGACACCATCCTGCCGCGCCACAGAGCGCCATTCACAGCTTTTCATTAAATTACATTATATTTGTCCCAAATCGATGTTAATGTACATATTCACCCTATAGCGAAACATTTGTCTTTCTGTGGCTGTAATGAAGTTTGTACGTTTATAATATAGATCACACTTTCTCTTTCATGTTTTTTTAAACACTGAACTTCAAACTCATCTATGCCACTTTGTTCATTCTTGAAGTAAACTTTTGCCCATTTGGTGTTTAAATAAACAGTTTTAGGCTGCCGCTTGAATTGTGCTTTTGCCCGGTGTGTGACTAACATAATTTGATTAGATAATCAAGTGTTCTAAAATAGAAGCAACTAAAGTGTGAGAGTATACATACAATCTTCATGTCATTTCAATGCTATGGCCTTTGTGTAGATATTTGAAGATGGCCATCTTTAAGCATGACTGTTGAAAAGAAATGATAACACTTTACAATAAGACTCCATTTGTAACATTAACACAGGCTGATAAAAGCTGTAGTATTGTTCCTTGTTAGTGTTATTTCAACATTTACTAATACATTTTTAAATTCTAAAGTTGCTTCTGTTAACATTAGATAATGAACAATGAACTAACTTTAATGATCAATATATAATTAATGTTAATATTTTTTTTTATTTACAAAGTATGGTTCAGTACCGTTTTTTAATAGTAAAGCACTATTTTAGTTTTCGTTTAGTATCAATTTTAAAAACTATCAGTCGATTAATCGGTAATGGACAGTGTGGTCCTACCTATCAGTTTTACTAAAGGTGGTTAGTTTTTTTTACATAATGAGTCAGTCACACAAAACTGCAGATGGCAAACAGGGGAAACTGTGTATGAGTCAGTGGGGGTCAAATATTTGAGCCAAACACAGACCAAATGTTGACTGACCTTGTATAAAATTGGTTCACAAAGCAGACAAATTGTCCTGCATTCAAACACAGCTATTTAAAGACTAAAAATTAAAATGGCAGGTTTTATGGTCAGCCTCCCACAGTCCACCACAGCAGTGCACAGAATTTAAAGTAAGAAATTATAAAAAAATCAAAAGTAAAGTATTTAATCAGATTTAATAAAACACACCTAAATTATCACTAGAAAGTTATCTGGAAAGTCCAACTTCTCGTGAGTCATTATTGTGACAAAACGTAAACCAAGAAAAAACATGCCAAAAAACTCCACAAAAAAATTAACTGAATAACACAAAAAGGATTTTTAAGTCACTAGATATCCCTTGGAGTACAGTTAAATCAATAATTAAGAAATAGAACATGGATGGCACAGCTGTAAAACTATCCGAGTCCATGCCGATATAAACTGCATGGGAGCAAAGGCTTTACATTTATTAATTCCGGTTCCAACGAGCACTGAACCACACCTCACTTATTGATCTCGGAGCATCTGGAAAAGCAAGGAAAACCAGTTTGATCCGATTATAATTTTTAAGTCAACATGAAATCCAAATGTTTACCCTATTTACTTTCTTGTTACAAATTTTGATGTTTTCAGAGCATGTGAGAAAGTCAATTTTAGTTATTATTCATGAGTTTATTATTCAAGTTGCTTCCATGACAACATAATTTGTAATCTGATATGCCTATTTACATTTAAACATCCTATGATAAAGTCCAAGTCAGTTTAGTGGAACACTGAGGACTGCAGAAAAAAAACAGCACAATTCAATGAAAGCACAAACAGAAACTCACCTGGGTATTCAATCTGAAACCCTGCAACGTCTGCATACAGGACATAATCCATCGCACAGAAATGTGCTTTTTTATGCTCCACCCTCATATGAATTAATCTCTCCAGCCTTTGACCTGTCCATGCACGCTCATTTGTCTCAATAACCCTTCTTTTTACTGCTTTAAGAATATTTATCATCATATTGTGATATGGAAACAGACATGTAGAAGATGTAATTCCTAATGGAGAGAAGAAATCTATTCAAGGTCCTGCACCTTTCACAGACCTTATCGGTTGAAATCAGCAACTGCTGATTAGGTGGATCAAAGTCCACTATTGTTGACTTCAGCACTTCCCTCCACTCTCAGCAGCCTAAATCAGGGGTTTTCAATCTTTTAAATACCACTAATTTGACCATCCTTGTGTGAGCGACATCCATCCAAAGACATTTAATTTATATTGTGAAAATGTTATGCTAAAAATGTGTCTAAAACATTATTTGGAAAATATTTAGTTTTTATTAAGTTACCTTGTTACTTTTTTCCCCCTATTCATCATAGTACTGTATTTATTTATCTATTTACTCATTTATTTTAAACTAATTTTTATTTAGCATTTACTCATTTATTTTAATCTCATTTTTATTATTTACACAATCTATTTTATCTAATGTTTATTAATTTATTTTAATCGAATTTTTAATTTAATCTTATTTTTTTCTATTCATCACAGTACTGTATTTATTTATTTACTAATTTCTTTTAACCTCATTTTTATTATATACTTAATCTAATCTATTTTTAATCGATTGTTCATACATTTATTGTAATCTAATTCTTGATTATATTAATCTTACTTTTTATTGATTACAGAACTGTATTTATTTATTCATTTACGCATTTCTTTTAACCTAATTTTTATTATTTACTCATTATGACTATTATTTACTCATTTATTTATTTTCATCTATTTTTAATCTAATGTTTATCCATTCATTTTAATCAAATTTGATTGTTTTAATCTTATTTTTTATTTTTCTATTCATCACAGTACTATATTTAATTTATCTATTTATTATTTTTCTATAAACATTTCTATAGACCCTCAGCACTTATCTGCGACCCCTTGAGGGTCCCTAAACCCCAGTTTAAAAAATCCTGGTCTAAATGTAGCTAAAGATCAGTGGCCTAGCCCTAGATAGACTAACATCATGCCTTGCCAAGGGAATTGATCAAACCCTATGAAAAAAGTCTGTGGCGTGATTTCAACACAAAAGTAAAGCCTTTTATATGAGATCTTACCAGAGGCGTGCACTTCACTGTAACACTGTTCACTGCTACATGCCAGCAAATACAATCCTGACATTTACCATGAGAGTGCGTGTAAAAATCACTGTTTACACCAGTGACTACAACAAAGCCCTGATCCTGCTGTACTCTCTCCAAATAAGTGGGCGTTACAATATAAACACTGAAGGAAATACCACACA